TCGTACGATGATATACCTCATACGGGTATCTGTTTTGATCGCTAACTAGTTTGAGCGGTACATTCATAATTTTAATCTGTGTTTTATAGGATATTTGTAAATCACATTAGGGCCATTTATACGAGCGAAAATAAGCCGCGGCCTAAATAAGCCGCGGCTTAAATAAGTCGCGAACAACTCGTATAAACAGTCAATTTGCAATAAGCCGCGGCTTATTTAGGCCTAGCTTTCAAGCCTGGGCTCATTTTAGCCGCGGCTTATTGCAAATTGACTGTTTATACGAATCGTTCGCGACTTATTTAAGCCGCGGCTTATTTTCGCTCGTATAAATGGCCCTATTTTCTGCTATAACATCAGCAATCTTAAATGATATGGTCACAACTACCACGACCTAATAGAAAGCTAAGCAGACTCATGAGCACATTAACCAGAAAGGCTCGAAAGGAACTGTATATACCTCCGAGGCTCGTAAAGACAAATGCAGAATTATCTTTCATAACAGTAATTTTAACACGTTCTTACTGCTATGAGGCTATGACATGGTGAAAAACATGAGTATTTTTAAAACCCATGCTGATGTGTCAAAACATGATGACTGCATATGGGTACTAGATTGGATAGTGATTGTACGTAAATTGATTAGGCTATTTTTAAGATTTTTGCTGCGAGTGCAAAGTTTCAGGTTATGTGCATACATCATTGTCTGCTGTAACAGTGTAGTATTAATTTAACTTTTTCTCGACCTGCCCCCATTTTCTATTTTACGATTCAATTGTTTCTAATATAAATATCTCAGCGAATATCTCCTCCCCCCTTTAAAACGAAAAACATGGTTGAAATCAATAAAAAAATAGTTTCTTTTAATCATACTCATTCTTAGAAAGAAATATACTACTTTAATACGCTAGCTAATTGGACAGTCGATTGCGACGAATAGTGTTACTTCCATAGACAATAACTAGCTCACCTTCGGGCCTTTTCCTACAATTGTTATCAATCTGACTGTTACTGTTTACCCACAGCTGCTAACTGGCTTATTTAACGAACAGCTAGGTGACTAGCTTAGGAACGGACCATTAGATACATCAGTGGGGCGGTTGCAGCTTTTTCTGTGCAGGACACACAAGTTGTGAAATTTGACGTTCTGGGCGTTCCGTTTCAGACATCTAAAATTTTTTATAATTTTTTTCTGGAGTAGTATGCCCCCAGACCTTTCATGAAAGGCCAGCACTCAAAACGTCCAAGTGTTTTCCTCTTGGGTGTCTTGGGTGACGTGTACTTCTAGGCAATGATTTATGCAGATGAACTATTGTCTCAATTTTCTCCCTCACCCCCATCAATGTTGTTTTCCCAATCCTGCCGACATTATAGTATGTCAAAACATAGCCTATCGAAGGGAAGATAGCTGTGAGGGAGGACTCATTAAAATAACAGTACAACTCATTATCTATAGTCAAAGTTTATTTGATTATAGCAATTTCCAATCTACCCTATTATTCGAGTCACGGATACTACAATCTCTTGCAAAATAAAACGTGCCATCATGATTTTGTAAGGCTTATCCTCCTTTCCCCCATCCAATGTTGCGATTTGAAGTCGAAATTGAAAACAAAGGCCTGAAATGGTGCTAACAATCATTAACCAACATTGAAAAGGGTGCGGGAGCATGGAGTGTCTCGTTTATTTTGCATAAGATTGTAGGTAACTTTCCTAAAACGTTGTCATTGGTTAGATGAGCAAAAATACAATACGCACGTGACGGCGCAGAATGACCAGATTTATGAATGAACGTTGACTAACATAGATAATGAGTAAAATTGTTATTCTAATGGTTTCACGGCCATCTTCCCTTCGATACGCTATGATCAAAATAAGATAGTAACTGGGATAAAAAATTGAATAGAAGTGGCGTGGAATCGAACATTGTTCAATTTATAAGTTTTAGATGTACATGCATTTGTCCCAACACATTTGAAAATGATTGTGGTAACGTAACATTGTCCCTTGAGAGTCACTCAATAATAGTTTATTGGCGCCGTGCAATTCTTCAGAACATAGTTTGTATCTTCAACACGACCATGAACAACGGTCAGTAGCACTGGAGTGAAGTACCAGATTGCCATTGCTGTAGTGACCGCATTAGCTTTCATGTGTACTTTCCAATCTTCCTTCCAGACCTTTTGAACTGGAATATTGTACATATAGTCGCGAACTAGGATGGAGAAAGTGTTGAAGAACATGTCTATGCCCAAACCTATAGCAATTCTCTTCAGAGATTCTTGCAAAATCTCCCAATAATCATTCTCAAAATTTGTTATCAAGTATAAAATTAGGTAGGCCTGACTCAGTATCATTGCTCCATAATCATACAGCATTGTTTGGATTTCTTTGTCTGCATTTAACCGCTGATTATAAGGACTGTCGTGCGCTTGCAGCTCTACTCGCCTGCAACACCTGAGCTTTTTAAGGGCGCGGAATATGCGAGTCCATAGTTTATATCGGAGTTTCTCAGTCGCTTTTCCCACAACGTTAACAAGACCATGAAGGACCGAAAGGCCAATAAACAGCCAAATGTTCTTTACATCCGCTTGCATGACACGGTACACAATCACTGTTGCGCCGTAAACAAAATATGCCAAAATAAAATGATTTCTTGAATTTGTAAAGATATTACTGAGCAGCGCAAACTGTCTGCAAACAGCCACTGGAATTACAGTCACCACTGGGGTTATGGCAGCGTATATAGCCTTCAGAAATTGATTGTCAAGCCGCGTAAATGCTGGGATTATAAAGTATGCCCCAGTTAGACCTATTATGAAGGCAAAGACGAACTGCGCGCAGACTGTAGCCATGATCAAAATTTTGGGCGGTGGTATCGCAAAATCACAATTCTTGCGGATTTTCACAGCGATCAAATAACTTGAACACAAAATACTTGTGAAAAAACAAACATTCCCAGCTAGATGATAATAGAATTCCATTGCGACATAGGCATTAAAAATAAACAAAAACAATTTGTAGATAATATTCACGCATAGAGCAGAAAAACACAGGACCAAAATAACCAGGTAATTGGCTTTAAACTCTTTCCAACCAAACAGGAAAATCATGGTGGAAGGAAACCAATAAAATAATCCCGAATCTTCAGTGACATCTCCCACTAATTTCCATCGCAAAACCGCCCCATCAACTCGAAGATCTTTATGTTCAATCCACCCTGAACATATATTTACTGTGTTTAAATCCGCAAATAGCAGTAAACTCGCGAAGAATCCCAATGGCAGAGCTGCTATAAAAATGGTAAGACTAGTCCATATGCTATGAAGACAGGCATTGAAAATACTAGATCTTGGTGGAGTATCTTGAGAAGGGATTGTGCCGTACCGGTACCCAGGATTGTTTGGTAGTAGCGTGTGGATGATGGAGTTCAGAGAATTAGTTTTTCCCCTGCAATTTGATTGAATTTCATTTTCCGTTGGTTGGCGTAGCTGTTTATAGTTTCTCACAGCCAGACGAAAGAAGTCCTGTGCGAAGAAGGATAGGGAAGACAGAAGAATCCCAGCTAAATCTTGCAGGATCATATCGTTGTTGACTTCTTGGACAATACAATCACCACAGGCACTGTTATAATCCGAGTTTCACACCTAGAAGAATAGTTTAATTAAAGTGATCACGCTCCGATCGTGCATCCTAAACGGTATTTCATGGTAAGAAAGCTTTTGATTGATAGGGATACAACTATAACCTGAAAAATACAGGGCATTTTTAACTATATAACTGGGGGGGGCAAAGCCGCCCTCCCCCAGCTCCCATGGTGGCCTCCGCACTCAACCATTTTGCCCCCCCCCCAGTCGAAGTCCCTTTTCTCTAAAATATAGGCAAAACATAGAATTTAGAAGGGAGGTTTGATATTCTAGTAACTGAAATTTGTTTTATGAATCTTATGTCCTGTCTTTTATCTTTATAATACTGAACATTGTGTTGTAAATATCTTTCTTAGATTTTAAACATTTTCCAGTGGATTGCTTTTCCCAGACCCTATAGATTTAAGTTGTTGGAAGGCTCGGCTAAACAAGTTAGTGAACGCAGGGGGCAACGGGCCCTCAACCATTTTTTTAAGGGGGGGGGGGGTAATTTTGCACCCCCCCCCCACCAAAAAGCCCAATTGATTTCGAAACTAGAAGTATTTGAAATCATATATATGTACATATAATCAAATATCTGTAATCGATATTTTGATAACAACATTTCTCATAATAATCCATCCTGACTCGCGGACAGCATTAGACTCACAAATCATAATGAACGAATTAATGAAAGGGCCTAACAAAAGACGTAGAGAAGACTTTGAAAATGCCATTTCCGACGATTTAGAGACGCAAAATTTTCAAAATTTTTCCGCTCTGGCGCTTCGTGGGAGTCCGGCCCTCTAAGTTTATCAAGCTGGCTCCCTGAGTGACTACGCAAGTAATTAACTGACGAAGGTTCAGTCTATCTACAGCATAATGTAATGCTGTATATCCGCAAAAATCTGTTTCAGAAAATGCAGGGAATTGCAGTCATAGGGGTAGAAAAATACAAACATTTTCTGGGAGGGACAGCCCCCCCCCCCCACCCCCGTACTATTAAATGCGATACCACACCAAACTTTTTGTTACCAACAAACCATCTATCATTTCTCCACATTCGGTGTAGTATGGTCCCTTTTTGTAGATGCCCCCCTGACGAATTCTTAAAAAATGCCCTGGAAAAATTCAAGGAGAACTTCGACGTTTCGAGTGAAGGCCCCTAGTCACCTAACTTCCCGACGAAGGGAAGCTTTCTTATTATTGGCACAATACCTACACTGGCACAAAGTGTTCAAGATTATATTCTCATTGCATTATTTTGTGGAGTACACGCTTCCAACACTACTCACAGTTGAGTTTTCATATTTATACGCCTACGATATCGAAAAATGGCCTGTATACGTTAATCGGTGAACGGCATTGACACCTTTTTGTATAGTTCCTTGCACAATTTCTATATGATAATCAAGTAGAGCAAAAAAATACACGCATGCAGAAACCCTCGCCTTGCTGACAAAACTATTATAATTATGTTTTCCGAACATGACTTATTTAAAATAGTTGTCATAATAAGACGATAATTTTATCAAGAATATTTAATTTCCCAAAGATATACATGTTATTGCATAGTATCGAATGCAATTTGGATATAACATGCACAAGTGAGTTTTTCAAAGACCTCAAAATAGCACGAGTCCGAAGGACGAGTGCTATTTGAGGTTTTTGAAGATCTCACGAGTGCATGTTATCCAAATAAAGAGACCAAATTTGACCGAAACCATGCTATTACTTAATAATAATTTACATGAAAGTATTCGAGACAATCAAATTTGAACTTGACCAAGTGTGGGAATCTTTCCCCACCGCTAAATCCGACCATCGTGTTTGTTTTGAAAAAAAAATTAAAATTTTCCCCGACAAAACTTGGTTCATAGTGACTTACAGAAAATTGCACTGTGATTACAGAAAATTGAACTGTGTTTACAGAAAATTGCTCTGTGACCACTGCAGAAAGTTGCCGACTGTGATTACAGACTTTTGCACTGCTGTTTGAGATTAACTGCACTGAAATCAACCAATCACAGACGAGTAATACTTTTATGTATGACATTGATATTATACGTAATATAAGCTTCAATTTAATGTAAAATTCAACCACAAATGCTTAATTCGCAAAATGTGTTAAAATATTCTTAAAACTAGAGTCTTTTTTTGATTATACGCAACGATCAGTTTTTGTTGCATGCCATATATCGCATTTCGACTAACCAAATAATTTTGTTCTGTTCATATGGAGAAACATTATCCCGCTAACCTGGTAAAGTTTCCAGCTATGACGTAGCACTGGTGTGACGCGCAAGGCGGGAAAAGTTAAACACAAAAGTTAATACATTTTAAAAACAGAAAAGTTGCTGACACGACGGAAAGTATTCCAGCTAAGCGGAAAAGTTGTGACTTTGTTGTGTTCATATGGGAAAAACATCCCGGTCACCGAGATCTCGCCTGTCAACAAGCCGGATCTTGATACACGGGAACACCTTTCGTCTCATATGAACGCAGTGTAACTTTTCATATTATTTTCATAACAAGGCGAGATCTCGCTTGTAAACTTGTCAATACGTTTTCTCGCTAACCGGGATAACTTTTCCCCATATGAACAGGCCCTTAGAAAAATAGATCGAGGTAGGTAAAACTTTGCTGTTTTTCCGAACGCAGTGAGGCAGCACACTATTCTTGACGTGCTATGGTTTCTCCAGATACACTCGACCCAGTCTTTCGCGCGATCTATGTATTGTCGAGATCTCGAGTCTGCCAGCATGTAAAGATGGTTGTCGTAATTCCAGGGAAATAATTACAAGCTCCATCAAGTTTTTTTAAACGAGAGGGTGGGGGCGGTCAAACTTTATTTTCTATTGCGCACGCATGATTCTTCTTAGGATTTCAGTTACGCCTTATTTACATGCAGTATGTTGGAGTTTCCAGATGCAAACGATAGTCAAGCACAACAAGTACTTGAATCAGATGAAAGGTAAATTTTGGAACGATAATTATGTTAGTAATGCATGTTCTACTCCATCTGAACCTTATGATACGCTAGCGCCTGCAAAACTTTGGTACAACAGGCCTGAAATTTAAAATATTGATTCAATAAATTGAATATCAATATATTTATTGAAAAATAGCTATTATGTCAAAGTAAGAAAACTTACATCCATTCTTATTAATAACCGTAATTTTAAAATATGAATATATAGATAACGCAACCTGGTAATGTAGCTATATCATCTATAAACGTCATAATGACCGTAATTTAAAAATTTGAAAATATAGATATCTAACTATTCACAATGTAGCTATATCATTAATAAACGTCATAAGACATAAAGGAAAATGAATAGTCACAAGGCATGCAATGTCACGACAGTCACGTGTACAGTTCATATGTTTAGTAAGTGGTGTATCCCAAATATTAACAGATTTTATTATATACATGACAAAATTACTGCAATCTGATTGGTTAAGAGGAGTGCAATTATTTCATTAATTGCACTCTCCAGGAGGGAGTGCAATGGACCTTTCCCCTTATAACTAAAATTTCGATCTAGACAAAAATTTCATCACAGCTTGAAAGAGCATCACAAAATTAGTAATATTCCAAAGTTTCGTTGCGAAATGTTGTAAAATGAGGAA